ATGTTGGACAATATCTGACGATCGACTCTTTTAAATGAAAGCAGAGAGCGTTGACAGAGAGGAGAAGGTAGAAATGACTCAGCCTGGAACTGAAAATATGGATGGAGGACAACAGAGCTGCTTCATGGAAGAAGAACCTCAGCTTAGCCTGTTAGCCTTTTGTGCTAGCGCAGATGCTATATTTCCTTATATGTATTAGCTCGGCGCTAGCTCAGCTGAGGTCCTCCATCCATATTTTCAGTTACAGGCTGAGTCATTTCTACCTTCTCCTCTCTGTCAACGCTCTCTGGTTTCATTTAAAAGAGTCGATCGTCAGATATTGTCCAAGATTAACCTTCAGGGTGGATTTAGCTCGCTATCAGCCTCGCACCGAGGACCTGTCCACGTCATCATTTACCCAGAATGCTTTACGTATAAATAAAATGGCCCCGTCCGTGTAATATATTTTTAAACTTTTAGTTTAAAAATGATAAAAACTGAACATTCTACAGTATTTTTACAGTCTTTATTTTACAGTTAAAATATACGTTTATTAAATAAAGTCTAATGTTACAACTAATCGGGGATCCCTTTAACATTTTCCCACAGATCAGTTAACACACCACAGCAAGTTTAAACTAATGAGACATGCTGTGAAAAAGTATTTATATATACATACAGTTCACCTGCAATGCAGACATTAAGCAAAAGTCAAGGACAGATTAAAATGTGAGCTTTTGCAGCAGCATTTAAATTATCCCCTGTTTGTGGCTCCTGATATGACAGAGCCGCTGACTCGTGTAATAACCCCTTTGGGGTCCCTCACCCAGCTTTACCATTGGTTTGCATTTTTCACAGCCCACAAACATTTCCAAGTGACGTTAATCATACATTTTATAGGCAGTATTACAAGAAGCTGAAGTGTGCTTATATTTCTGTTTCTTCAGTAAAAAGACTAAATCTATCAAAAAAAAAAACAATACAAAATGATAAGCTTAATAAGGGGACATCTTTATTTCATTGGATGACTCTTTGTTAGAAACTTAAATGTTGCTGTAGGCATGTGTAGGGGGGTGGATAGAAAAAAAAACCACTTCAAAGCAACTTTTTTGACAGACTTCTCATTCCTAAGAAGGTTACTCACTTAGTGTAAATGACACTACAGTGCCGTGTCTTATTAAGTTGATTAGTTTCCACTATGTTAACAGGACTACACAATTTTCCGTGTGAGAGGCTGATTTTGAGTTCTAGTTTGGCTACATGCAGTGCGATGCACAAGCATGGTGTGTATGAATTGTAGATATATTTTAAATATGTCTTAGCTTCATTCTAATATAGGGTTATTTTTAAAACAAGATGAAGTTTTGTAATCTTATCAGTTCATTTGTCAGTCTTTAAAATCCATCTACAGGGGATTCCATGAGTGTAGAGTTTGCTGAATCACTCCAGAATCTAAATGTCCGGAACACAACTGCAACCAGCTCCACAGCCACTGTATGAACACCCAGTGAGTGCGTACATGAGAAAACTGGGTCCAGCCTCAAAGGGATATTCTCTGAGGTGATACATTATGGAAAAAGAAATATTCAAAGCATTTTGTAAGTAGGTGAGAGTGGAGTTCATTCCCCTCTAGGTTTAGCATAATTCCGTGGTTTTCCCAGTTTTTTTATTCTCATAAGTAGAACAGCTCAGGGATCTGTTATCGTCTTTTACCACATAGCTGTTCATTTGAATATTTTCCTTTTGAATGAACCTCTAATTTGAAAAGCGCATCTTTAACATTACATAAGTTATATTTCTAACTGGCAGTTTTCCACTTCCTCCTCTTTTGTTTCCCTTTTATTTTTATCCCTTTCCACCTTTGTTCTTTTATTTTTCCTCCAAAGTAAGGAAGAGCAAACCACAGAGGAGCACTGCGTGCAACAATACCTTTACCGCCATTCATTTAATAACAAACCATACTGTCATGTAGTCCATATTTTAGAGGTGCTCTCTTTTGTAGACGTATCATTTAGGATGTCTGAAAGCTAATTCTGAATCGGTAGAAAGGAAACAAGCCTCACCACAGAGATCTCTTATATTCAACTGGGTCTGAATATGAGACAATCTGGGCTCCAGGCCAAACACAAGGGTGAAAGGAGGAACAACTGCTCTGATAAGGATAAGAACAAAACACCCTTGCTCCTTTCATACTCAGGTTATATAAGTTTACATATGGATTTTTTGACTCGGACAAGCCAAGAGCATTGTTGAGGTTGTGCTGTTGTTGAATACATTCTGAAGGGTGAGATCTCAGTCAAAACAGTTCATTTGTTTAAAATAATTCTGTTAACATGACAATAAAACATTGTTAGACATAAACTGATCATGAACAAAATTATTCACCAACAAAATTCCTATCTATCTATCTGAAACCCCAGGAAAAAAAAAACAAAAACAAAATCAGACAACACAATTTTGTCTTTTGTAAAAAATTTGAAGAACTTGTAGGAAATGCCAGAACACAACTGGAGCAAGGCTGAACACGGAATTGCAGAACTTGTTCAGACTTCGGAGCTCCCTGTTGGCTCCTACTAGCTCCAAAACTTATTTACCACAGGGGCCTGTAACTCCCAGGCTAGCTGTTCCAAGAGCTGGAAGCTCCTGCAAGTTTCAGGACTCCAGATCTTTGATTTATTGGTTCTCTGCGCTCTGATTTTTGAAGGCCATTGAAGAGGAATATAATTATCATTCTGATATGTTCACTTGCGTACAACCTCCTATTTCAGTTTTACAACAGATGTACTCTAGGGTATGTTCACCATACTTTTATTTGATTTATTGTCAAACTTTTTTTTTCCTTTTTGTGCTTTTTCTTATCTGTTTTCTGTCTTCCTCCATTGCCCATAAGGTAGTGTACGCACGTGATTGACTGAAACAAGGTGAATACCAAGCAGTACACGGTTACATGAATAAAAATAAAGATTAAATCAAAGAATTTGTGTCCAGTAATTTTTGTAGTCAGCTTAGTTGATGAATTATTTCAGCCTACTTTTGCAGAGTGCAGATGGATTTTAGAGCATTGATACCTGTTGGGTTGTAGTTCAAGAAATCTGTAAATGTAAGGAAATATCTAGTAGTTCTTTAAAGGAGGATTTGGAAATCCCATGTAGTTAGTTGAATAAACTTCTCTCTGTAGACGAAATAAATGCTGCTTTTTTTCTCTTATATACAGTATGTTTGACAATTTAAAAAAATCCTATTTTTATCTAAAGTCTCTTATTATTGATGAACATATATGATATATTTTCCACTCATAGTATTTAGTAACTTTTATTGGTGTGCATTTGAAAACAGCATATGTCTTGTCATTTTAGCTTTTTTACTTATATTTTTAAAGGACATTTTTAAGTTTTTTTTTTCTTTTTTACAGACCATCGGTGTAACTTGGAAAGGGATGTTTATGCTTTGTGACACATTAACAACATGTCCAGGGTTCATCTTGCCTTTTGCCACTTTTATACACTGGGCTGGTTTCCAAGCCTATGTTGCAATGATAAGCGGGCACAGAAAAATGTCGACTGGATAAACAGAAGAATCAGCTTTATGCTCAGATCTCCACTCTATTATCCTCAACTTATTTAATAAATATTTTTATCCCTTCAGAGCAGCTATCAATTACCTATTGTTAGATAACCTGTAGCTTCGTATATTTTCATGCTAATCAAAGGCAGAAGCCATAATCATTATCTGTTCATTCTTCTTGACACGGTGCTCTTAATGAAACCCCTACATGTGAAAAGACAGATGAAAAAGATTACGGGTTCAAGAGCAAGCTCATAATCAGACCTCTCAAGTACCATCATGTTTCCATGTAATACTGTTGTTAAGATTTAGTTTTAAGTGGCAGTGAGGCTGTTTTTATGCTCAAAAAGGCTACATTTTTTATTTGGACAAATTTACATTGTAATGTAATTTATAAAGCAGTTTTGCTTTTTCATCAACTCGTGTTTTCCAAATTAAAAATGCATTTAGTCATATAGTTTATTTCAAATGTGACGGCAAAAAAAAACAGGTAGATATTAGTCCAAGAATTTCTATTTAGTTCAGTTATCAGGCTGAGTCACAGTAAACCAGCACATTTTGAATGAATTAAACAAACAAACAAGAATGTCTACCCAAATTTACATACATTCAATTGAGAATACGATGTATGTATATTTGGGATGTTTGTTGATGTGTGCATGCTCAAGATGCCTTTTTCCTTCAGTTTTGAAAACAGATTGTGTTTGCCTGTTTGAAAACATCTGGTTTGTTTGTTTTTTTCTGTTTAAATACTTTTTTTATTTTGATCAAGTAAAAAAAAAAAAAATCAGAACTTTCAGACCAAATAAGTTTAGTCACCTTTCGACTTTATTAGGTATAATTTTTATAAATGATGTTATGTTAGTTAACATTTGAGTCACGTTTTTTTGAAAATTTTAAATTCTGCTGTTAGGATCCCAACTTTGTGTTTTTATGGATATTCTGTTACATTCATTATGAAGAGTTGGATTATTCAAATTGGTTTATTTAGTTTTCTAAGCCTAAGGCAGCTCATCTATGCATGAGTACCCAGAAGCAGATTGCAATCGTCCCTCCTCTGTCTAAACCTGGGACTGCCTGTGCTCAGTAATAAGCCTGCTATGATAATCAGCTACTAACAGGATTGTTTTTTTTTTCTTTCCCCCTATCAAATCTAAATCAGCCCCAGATCTGTTATTCCCCTGTAGTTTCTTTTGCCCTCACACTAATTTTGCTGCATCTGAGTGTATGCTCAGATTACTGTTTGGCCTGTAGCATCTGTAATGTATTTGCTCTTCTTTCATCCTTCTCTCTGACCTTGCTAACGGAGCATCTCTGTTGAACTCCTCTTACAGCATTTGAACGACTGTTTTGTCAGAATCTGTTTGTAACCATACCTTTCTTCCTCGTTTTATTTGTCGTAACGCCTTTTTTGTGTGTCTTTGTCTTTTCTAATCCCTGTCCTTTCATCTCTTCAGAGAACCAGATCCCACATGGGTTCCCCACCATTGATATGGGGCCACAACTGAAAGTGGTTGAAAGGACCAGGACGGCCACGATGCTGTGTGCTGCCAGCGGGAACCCAGACCCGGAGATCTCCTGGTACAAGGACATGCTTCCTGTGGACATCAGCAGCAGCAACGGACGCATCAAACAGCTTCGCTCAGGTACAGCACCATAAGATCTTAGTGGATTTTTTGTGAGTTAGATTTTTATTATGTACATGGCACTTTGAAAACACAAAAACAACAAAGACAAAGTGCAAGATGTCACTGCATACCTGCAGACATCATGTTAATCATGAAGATAGCGTAAACAAACAAAAGGCCTTTGTTGTCGGGTACGATTTCAAGAACTGCCTTTCATCAGAAAGAATGGGAAAGTTTTCCTTGGCTTCTCATTGCTCCCTTGATTAGTTTTCTAAGAACTTCCAGAAGTTTATTCCTTACGTCAGCACAGCAGCCTTATCCAGTCACTGAAATTGGAATGACACCCTCTCTGTGCCTTTTGCAGGCTTTGACAGTGAGGCATGAACTTTTCAAACTTTTTGAAGTACAGAACGAGAATGTTTCAACCTATTAAATAATCCCTAATCCCCTCTTAAACATGCAGCTGGGTCACAATGAGGCCAGTAGTCGATATATTAGCCAGGATTCAAGCGTAACCTAATGAGGTGCTTTTTGTTCAGAGTAGCAGTCCCAGTGATTTATAAACAGTGCCTCCTTGACCTGGATGTGATGAAAAACGTGCAAAGTGGACAGATTGGTGGGTTTCGAAACAAATTCTTCTTTCACTCTCTGCTAAGCCTACTCTGACTTTGTTAGGTAGTGAAGCCCCCCCCCACTGTATGAGGTAGCTTTTACTTTGGGAGGTATTGGAGAAGCAGCTTATGAAGTGTCAGACCCAGCTGCAAGTCTGAGAACCCAAAGGTTAAAGATAAGAGATACTCAAGAAGAAGCCCAGCGATAGAGCTGCTGAATCTCTTCAGCATGTCCACTGGAACTGTCCGTGTTCTTACAGTCCTGAATTATTACCTACTAAAAGCAAGACCCCAAAACAGAAACAAATTTTTAATAACTAACTCAACTCCCTAATTGTTTGATGATTTTTTTATTGCGAGGATAAAATTGTGCAAAAAAAAAATCTTTTGACTTCCAGCGACAAACTTTTAATTAGTTTTCTTTCCCACATACATTGAGAGTGTCTGAAAATGTGCTGATATGTAATGCCCTCAGACTAACATTTCGTTTTATCCACCACCGTTTTCCTGACATCTGCTGCTGTATCAGGATTTACTTTACTAAATAGGATATGAAATGAGGCCAGTTTTGCAACTCGGGGGNGGGGGGGGGGTAAAGCACATTCATTTGTAGCCAGCATTGAACAGAAATGGCAATCTAAATTCTTCCTATTGTAACCCACTTGCTTAGATTTCTTCTGAAGACACAGGCACACTTACTCTCTTTTAAGATGATCCAAATCACCCACTGAGTGGAGATACTAACTTCTGTTCAGTTTATTACGTTTGACATTAATATTTCTTCTCCATCATTTTTTTTTCTGTGTATTATTCTCATTAATTATCCCTGTCCTTTTTTACTAACTGCTATCTGTGGAAAAAAAAGAGTGGGGGCCATCCTAAATTAGGAAGCTTAATTAAAATACTTTTAAAAGCTGCTGTAAAGCAAGAGTAATGTGCTTGAGGTTCTGCAAAAACAGAATGAGGAATATTACATTTCAAAGCTGACAGAAGGGATCCTTCTCAAAGGTGTGCGTTGTTTTAAATAATTAGAGACAACCTGCTCTGTCCAATATCCATAATTGCTTCAAGCTGTAGCATTGATTAAGTGCGTTGAACTTTGGCTCATTGCATTTAAGTGGCCTCTGCTCTGTATCACCTTTTTTTCCCTTTTCTTTTCTATGGCCTGTCAAAAGACATGTGTTTTCCCCACTGCTGTAAGTGGATTACTAACTAATCTTTCAACCCTGTTTTCATTGAAATTACTCCCACCTAGGTGGTACACCAATTAGAGGTAAGAATGATGAATAGTGCATTGGAAAAATCCAACAATCACACCATCCCCTCACGCCCACATCAGACCCCTTCATGTTTTCCCATTGCCACATCGCCGGGTTCATCCTCACTGTCGGCGCCAGCCCACCCTTCCACTTTCCCGTGCGTTTTCCTCCCAACATGTCCTGTCTGCTGTCTGGTCCTTGACAAACAAAAGATCCCCAACCTTGTTGTACGAAGGGAAACGCTAAAAGTCCACCGTGTTAGCTTGTAAATGAGCTTTTCAAGGTTTTTTTTTTACACAGTGTGTGAAATGAACCATTTTATTAAGGAAACCTCTCACACAAAACACCTTTTTGCCTCTTTCATGGTTTTTTTCTGCAAAAGGAGCGAGGAGTCAAAACTAAAGGCCACCAACATCACACAAGGATCTACCTGCTTTGATCTACCTACCTTATTTGTGCAGTCCTATTTTAAATTGAAATGATTGCATTTACATAAAGTCTATGTGGAGTTGCCCCCCAGCACGGGAGCTGGATGTCTGTTGAGAATGTTAAGGTGGAAGTCTTAAACCTTTTTTATGGAAATCATCTGCTTTTCCGCAAGACATAAAGCATGGTTTCACCTCAACAGCACTGCAGCTAATGTTGGGTATCTAGAACAGGATGAACATATTTCTGTGCATTTGTAGTTGTTTATATCGCCCGTACTCAATCTGATTTTTAGACGTACTAATGTTGCCTTGTAGGTAGAAGTTGTCGAACATCTACAAGTGCTTGAAAACGTGGAAGCAGCTGAAGTGGTTCGGCGTCACACCTTGACAACCACCGTGTAGCAGCAAACCTTGTACATTTTTGTAGTCCTCAAACTGTTTTCTCCCACGAGAGAGCTGGCAGATTGACAGATTGGTGACATTGACATTAGTATGCCGGTGCATGTCAGTGCTGAATCAGACAGCGATGAGCTCAGCGAGCCGAACAAACGCCTCGAAGCGACGTGTTGTCACGAGATCTGAAGACGTAGTCTCACATGTCACCTCCCCGCCCCGTTCCGCTTCTGTTTTTAGGTCTTGCCTGGCTTTGAGTCCCTTATGGTTGGTGGTGAACCTGTTTGTTACATTCATCTCATACTGCATGATGTATAAATGTATCTTATGCTGAGTATTGTTGTCATTTACAAACTGCATGGTGTCTGGCTGCCTTTTGCGCTAGCACCATGCTGCTTTGGAGACATGATCACTTTTATCACTTGCTGCACATATTTTACCCAAAGAAGCAGTGTTTTTATCTATATACTTTGGGGTAAGCAGGTAAGTTTACTGTTGCTCTTCTTAATTTGTAAAATAGGAACCTGCTTCATCTGTCTGCCATTTGCAAGTCAGTACCAGTGATGAAATAATGGCTGTGTAGTGGAGTGAACAAATGATCACTCCAGGTTGGTTCTCTGGGGCTTTCATTCTTTGTCTGAAGCAACATGTTGGCCTGCATTCGGATGCCAACAACAACAACTTGGAATTGTGAATAAAAATCAGAGCCATCTGGCAGAAAAAAATTATCTCCCTTTTGTGAAACTTCATAATTTTCTAACTGCTAACTGCACTGGCAGCTGAGATTGAGCAAATCCTTCGTTCATTTTACCGTTTACGGTACACTTTTTAAAAACATGAATGTTTTTAAAAATGTTCACTACTTGGCCGAAAACAAAGACACACTAATATTTCACTGGCCCACCATAAGCTTACATTTTGGTGCGTATTTGTCATGACATCACCACACTATGGCATGTTACAAGATTTACTTCCACCCAAACTTGCATTAACTTTCCAACATCTTATTGTATGACTAATAGAAATTCAGACCACCATGTAAAATCTTCTCCCTCACATCTTTGAATCATAAAGATTTGGACTCTGTTGCTTATTCAGTGATGAAAGGGTTTGTGTTCTGATTGTTGTTTAAAGAATGACAGCCCACTAACGGCATCAGTGAGTTTAGTAACTGATTGTCTGCGAAAACTTGAATCAGTGCAGTACTTTTACAAAAAAAAAAACAGTCTTGCTTATTTAAACCCATGTAGTAGCATCTGCTAATTTATCTAAAAATACTCTGTTTTAATTGAAGTAACTTTTACACAAAGTGTAAAAGAGAATTACACAGCATTAAACAACTGTTTGGTTGTTTATATTTAAAATAATTTAGCTGTCTTCTCATATCTGGCTAGCACAGACAACCCTCTGTGAGACAAACACTCCAGTTTGTCATATTTCCTTAAGCTGAAAAGGTAATTAGACTTTAAAGATTTTGTTGTATGTTTTAAATCGTTAACTATGTCATTTATTTATATTCATTTTTAACATGACTAGGTCAAATATTCAATTAGTCGTTTTCTTAATCTCACCAGTGCTGTTGAATGTTTGTGTTGTTTTAATTATGTTCCTTACACCATGATGTCCCTTTCTGAGCATGAACTAGGTTAGACTAGTTGGATGCAGTCTCTAGCGAGCAGCTGCATAAATATCTGCCTTGGTTTCTGTCATCTGTCAAGATGGCTAAATGTGCTAATTCTCCATGTAGGAGCTCTGCAAATTGAGAACAGCGAGGAGTCGGACCAGGGGAAGTACGAGTGCGTTGCCATGAACAGCGCTGGGACCCGTTACTCTGCTCCTGCCAATCTCTACGTCAGAGGTAAAATCAAATGTTTTTTTTTTCTTTGATGTGGAGTTAATAATTTTAATGCCATTTTTTGTTTTGTTATTTCAAGTATTTGTAAAACCACTAGCAGAACACGTCTTTTTTAAGCTCCACCACACATGCTCTGGTGAGGCGCCGTGGGACACAGTTGAATCGTCTTTAACGTCTGTAGGATGTTCAGCGTTTGCACTTTTTACACCAATTTCGGTCTGTCTTCACCCCAGTTCCCGCTCTCCCGTTTCTTCCATTCCAGTGAGCTGAACTAACCTCAGCCTCCTGTTTGGCTGTGAGCTCAGCCAGGTGCAGTGCCTGAGAAAACAGCTGCATTGAAACCATTTCCTCTGCTGGCACAGACACCAGGCCGTCTTTCTATTTTTTATATTGACTGTATCGAAAGGGTCCATTATTTTCCCCAGCACAACCCAGAGCTTCTAAAGACAAGGGTGGGTGCGGGGGTCTTGGGTTTCCAGGGTTTGTTTTTGCTGAAACGTCTCCACGAGCAGACTAATGCAGGGCAAGGGCAGGACTGGACTCATCCTGGAAAAAGCTGCTATAGGGGAATGAGTAGTCTAGGTCAGCTGCCGTGGATAACACCACCGTGTCTGATGTACACGAAGCACAATAGCTGCTCCAGTTTGTGTGTGAAAGACACACATGGTTATTTTTAAAGTTTGGCTAAAAGCATATTGTTTTGCATCGTACAGGCTGTTTTATGGATAAGGACATCCATTGTACCCTTTTCTTTTCATTAAAAGTCAAATGAATAAATTACCATTCAGTATCTCCTGTTTATTACAGGAAAAAAAAATTGCCAAATTATTTGTATTTAATTATAAATGTTTATCTCTTCATCCTCAACGTTTTAAATTGGATCCTATTTACATATTAAACACTCTGAGTTGTAGAAAATTTAGATCTTTAAACCTGACAGGTGGTGCTCAGCCAAAGAGCAAAGGCGAGGAAAGGATGTGCGTCTCATCTATTAATCAGAACGTGTCTGTCACAGGTGCAGACGCTGGCTTTTTGCCCCACCTCACAGGTAATTACAGTAGTTTTGTGGCGTGGCGCCAGCAGGGCCTGAGGGGCCCTTCTACTCTGTAACACCACCCAGGTAGCTGTCAACCCACTGGCCCTAATACCAACTTTTTCCGCCAGCTTCCCCCACACCAGTGAAGAGATAGAAATCAAACCAAGCGTAACCTTTTTAAATGTGTTCTTGACTGGAATGGAGAACAAAGGCTGTAGCCATGTTTTCACTCCGTCTTTGTTACCGGTGCGGGAGAGGGTAGACAGGACCCGGGGCTGTGCTATCACTCGGCTGCTAGATTGGGTTCAGAACACGAGTGACTCGAGACAAGTGGCCTTTGACAAGCCTGTCTGCCTCTCCTGTTGTTTTAGGCTTTTGCTTTTTTACTCTGAAAACAAAGGGGATTGCGTCGCTTCCTGTTATCAAACTTAATTGTTGGTCACTGATAAGCGAAAAATTTATATATAAAAGGCAAATTAATTCTTAAATTAACCATCTTATTAATTACGTTTTAAGTTTGAGTAAATTACAAGAATCAATCAATCAGTCACTCAATCAATCAATCAATCAGTAACTTTATTTTTGGTAAATCTTTCACATTAAACATTAAAAAACAACAACAAACAAAACAGAAACAATAAACAAACTCGTAATTTACCAAAAACAGGGATAGGCTGAGGCCAAGCTTTTTCTTGCCTACCCTATTTTATGCTCAACAACCTACCAAGATATCTTCACAATATATAAATAAATCTACAAAAAAATGTGAGATGTTATCATTTTACATTTCAGAGCTCTTTTAAAGCTCACCAAAAAAAAGCACATAACTTAAGATCATCATTCAATTCGTTCCACAGTTTCACACCAACAACTGAAACACATCTCAACTTTACCTGGCTCTTCTCTTTTGCACATTCAAATATAAACAAACCTCGCAGATTATATTTATTCTCTCTTAACTTAAATAATTTCTGAATACCAAAAGGAAGACTTTTGTTCAATGCTTTATACATTATTTCCAGTATTTTTATACAAACAATATCTTTATCAGTGGGTTCACGATATCCCACTTTATTAACAAACCTTGTAGCCTTTTTCTGCAACTTAACTAATTTTGTTTTACTTTCATTTCCCCAGATTTTTAAGCAGTATGACAAATAAGGCAAAACCAAGGAAGAATATATAATATGCAAACCCTTAATATTTATTAAATCTTTAATTTTAAACAATTTCCAATAGTTTTTGCAACTTTATTTCTAATATATTCTATATGAGGCTTCCAGCTGAGTTTATTGTCTATAACAATTCCTAAAAATTTGGTCTCAAACTCTTTCAATTTCAACTCCATATCGATAAATTATATGCAGAGCTTTCTAAAAAATTCAGCCTCCCCTGATAAAGCTTAATGGGTCAACCCCCACCCCACCCCAAATACACAAACGCTGCCAGCACCACCATCACCACCGTCACCACCCTTGTCTTGACATTTTAGTGCCACCAGAGAGTGATGGCCTCATGTTTTGACCGTGGGAGGGGTTAGACCGAAGGAGACGGTGGTTCTTGTGCGCGAGGAGAGTTCTGCACTCGAATTGTTTTCTCTTTCCACTGTCTTTGTATCAATTTACTGTACGTCCTTCCACTTGTTATCCATTAAGACTGTGACCGTGTTTGTAGGTGTGCAACCGCAGGTCGCTCTCGGTGACCCTCCTCTAAAACGGAGGACTCCATCAACGTGGGCTGAAGCGCGGGGAGTGCTGTGATTGTGCATGAGCGCTCATTTGTCAAGCGTTTATCCCACAATGGAGGAGGGATGTCGGCTTCTGTCTGCTGGCACTCTTTCATATATCCATGTGACATGTCAATATGTCACAGAGGATAAAGTGCTGCAGCTGGGTTTTTCTTCACCAAAATATCTTCATGCTGTTTTATGTGTACGTGTCTGAGTGTCAAGGAAGGAGACTTGGAAAATAATCAATTTGGGTCTGATTTATGAGGACTAAGATTAGGAACAAAAGCATATTTAGCTAACCTGACATCGAGAATGGAAATTTTAGTTTAGTTCCTTTGAGTTAAATGGATTGATTTTTCTTTTGTATTTATAATAATGAAGAATCAATTTTTGTGAAACTGAAATGCAGTACAAATTATATCAAAACAAATTGAAACCATCTGTTAAGCCTGAGCCATTTGGTTAATGGTAAAAGTTTCCCTCCCTGATGCTGAGCATTACTCTGCCTCTCTGTGCCACGTCACTAACCTCCGCTGTGTCTTCAAAAACACTTGTCTGTTTCACTGTGTTGTCTTCCTCTTCACTTTGTATCTTTTCATTCCATCGGTCACCTTCATCATATCACTTCACCCGCAAACAGATCAGCGTGAAGGTTGGTCATTTTCACTTTTTTGTCACTTCCCTTAAACTTAGCAGAATTGGTGGCGAGGTTCTCCCCCCCTACCACCTTTTGTCACAAAGGCGCTTACATCCTCCCCCCCTAGAGACAATTATGTTATTAATAGCTCTCCCTAATCCTCCGCAGTGTAATTGTGTTGTCTACGTATTTGCATGGATCCCCAAATAGCTCTTGCATGCCTGCTCGTGCCACTCCCCCTAACCATGTTTCAATTAGTCTTGCCAAAACATATAAAGGAATCCCTGAGTAGTTAGCTTAAGTTATTATTAGATCTCTGTTGTGTTAGGTTGTTGTGCTTTTCTCCCCACCGCACCGTTATTGTCCCTGTCAACTGCAGGCACCGAAAAGCAGCTTTCACCCTCAGAGTTTCCACCTGCCTCTGTAGAGCCATCAGAATCAGGTATTCAGTTATTCAGGTGGCAACCGGATTTGTCAGGTATTTAGGCAGCTACACCCCGGCTCTCCCACTGAGGGACATGGGTATCGGAGCTTACAAAGCCATTCTCAGGGGATTATGTGCGTTTTACCACCATGGGCAGCATCCAGCATAGGACCAAAGGATGTCATAGTCGCATGTTGGGTTAATGAGAAAACTATGTTTTTTTTATTAACCATGTCTTTTTAGTAAATACAAATATTATGAAAGAACCCATATAAAAGCTAGTGTTGCACCTAATCATTAACTTATTTATGAAAGTTATTTTATGACTTTTAGTCCTTGATCTACATAATGACAGACAGAACTCTGCTTCACAGTTAATGAATAGTAGCATTCACCTTGCTCATGGCAAAGGTGTCATTTCGGAAAATGTCCTCCTTGTGTACTATTTACACAACTCAGCCTCACAAAGAGCTGACCTGTAGAATATTTAACAATAAGCTGCCCGAGTGCTGACGAGGGGATGATCAGCCATCATGGTTGCCCAGAGTTGCTGCCAGGAAGCCTCGGAGCCTGCTGAGTCCGTGCCAGTTTGTGCCAGATATTGATTGACTGAACAGGTTCTGCTATCCTTGGGCACTTTGTCAAGGCAGTTAAATTTATAGGTATCCAGCAAGAAAGGCAGGCAGAGTGGAGACAGGGCTTATTTTGTGGTTTTGATAGAGTCCCGGAGCCCATCTCTTCAAGCCGCTCTCGACAGGAGAGAGGCTCTGGGGGAATCGATAACAATTACCTGCCCTCTAGTCATTTTGTTCCACAGCACCTCTCCAAACTTAACCGCATGCTATGAATTATTCACAACATTAAGTGTTCAATATACACAGCCCCCATTGACTGCTCATAGTGCTTTAAAGTCTGTGGAATCATGAAAGAATAACTGTAACTTTGAGCTTAATGGTTGTATGGTTTTAGATTTGGCCAGCTTCAGTCTGGTTTCTCTTCTCGTAACCAAACTGAAAAAATATAATAAACATGGCCACCAAAATGAAAAGAATGGAGTTTTCTTTTTTTCCACAAAGTGCTCAAGGAAAATGTGTTGTAGGCCTAGTCACAGTAGGAAATCAGATGTTCAGTCAATTACACTAGAAAATTAGGCTAAGTTCCTCCTTTATCCTTTTCCACCCTAGTGTACTCAGGCTTGCTATCCCGTCCCATATCTTTCCTCAGCTCCTGCATGCTTTGCCTGAGAATTTCATCCCCGTCCTGTTCTCAGGCTGGTAAAACTCTTCAGCCAGTCAAGTCCTCTCATGTAAAAATCACCCATATTCTCAGGAACTCAAAAAATAATATTGTTGACACAACTTTCTGAATGGTTAATGTTTGTCTTTTTTTTCCCTGCAGCAAAGTAATTAAACATTTTCAAAACCTAAAATGTGAGAGCTGAATTTAGTCTGCTCTAAAGCCTGCCTTGACTGTTTTTTTGTACAAACTTTGACGTTATCTTGTTTTTAAAACAAACTCGCAAGGCCAAACTCGAAACCAGCACATTTTTGTGGCTCAGATTTGGAATATTGATTATATTTTTAATACTGAGCCAAGTAGTTTCATCCCACATGAATCTGTTGATTAAAACAGCAGAAAGTCTGCATGCCATACCTCAATTA